GAAGGACCAGTGCAATAATCTGGACAAGATGGAGGAGTTGAGAGTCAGACACAGCAGGGCTTTGTGTTCAGTGCATATCTGTGTGTGTTTCAAACTTGAAGATGATTTTTATGTTTTTAGGAAATTCAAATTATTCAATGACATAAGCAGGTAAAATTAAGTAGTTTCCCTTTCCTCCTATATAAATATGTGCGGGAGGTACAGATAACATTTTCTTTTCTTAATTAAGGTGGTGGTTGGATTTTATGCTGTTGTGTTGCATTCCATGTTATGTTTTCCACTTTGCCCTACAGGAAGTCCCTGTGGGTTTCTTAGGTTAATTAACATCATAATTATTACACAGGCTTCTTGCATGAATTATGTTGAGCCAAATGGGGGTTGCTATATGTGTGTGCATCAACATATCTGTGCTTGTGATAGAGAGAGAGTGTGTGTGTGTGTGTGTGTGTGTGTGTGTCTGTGTGTGTCTGTGTGCATGTGTTAATCTATCACAAGTGCACTCCAAATCCCTAAATCAGAGGCTTATCAACTCCTTGCTCCTTCCACTTCATTAGCGATATCCACCATTATTAACCTGTAGTACTCACTCTGTGTCTCCTCTCACACACACACATACACACACACAGGACGACATGTGCAAGCACCTGAGCAGAGATCAAAGCTCGGTCTTAAAGATGATCCCACATGAGCCAGATAGAAGCTGCCGTACTATAGAGACAGTACAGTAGGCGAATTTAAAATCAGTAAGACCGTCATGACATGCTGTGCTAAGAATGACCAAGACCTGTGTTAAAATAGACTGCCAACTGTTAAATGTTTCCTGGGAACTCATGTGCTGCTTTTCCTGCTTGGATCTTGGTTTCAAAAGTAAATTTGCTCAGGTAAGATATCGGCACTCTGAGTTTAGATTGCACTGCTGTACGAGATCAAGCACTCTTATTTGACAGGTCTGAACAATAATACACAAATCACTTGCCTCATACATGTTTGCACTGAAGGTGAATGGATTTTTGCTACACGGGTTACACATTTTTACTGCATTGTCTGTGACTTTATTTTTGTTATTTATTAAATAAAATGTTTACAAAAGTCTTAAAGAAGTATTTCACTGCTGGAAAGAAGTTCGTCTCACAAAACAGGGCTGTCTACTGTTACTTTACTGCATTACTCCCTGAGTAAAGTAACTCAAGTACTTTTAAAGTACTACTAACGTTACTCTCTGAGAAAAGTAACTCAAGCATTTTTAAAGTACGTTTGAGTATTCTACATTTCCTATTGGGCAATGGACCACAGGGCGCTAAGCCTACATTTTTTTGTCTCCAAAATTAAAGTTATGGACCACTTGCCCTTCACTGAGATCCAATTCTTCCATCACAGCCGTCACTTTGACCAGTAGAAACACAGAAGGATCTGATGCCGTAGACAACTGCATGACAACAACACCCCAGCGTTTTTAATATTTCCTCTAGGGATGTTACCACACAGAGTAAAAGGGGGAAATGATGGTGTGAAACAGCAGAAGCACTTTGTCAACCCACTGAGTTAACGTTACTGTCATTAGCATCAAGCTAGCAAACAATGGTACATCCTCATAATGGAGACGGACAAAACGTAATAACATTAACAAATAGCGGCGGGGCTTTTACTCACCACAACTGCAGAGGCTCCCAGCTTCATGTTAAACAGACTACATTATAGACGGTCCGTTATTTTACTTTTTATCCGCTCCTGTTGTATTTAAAAAGTTAACACATCGCGCCATCATTTCAAACTCAACACTTCCTGAATTTCTTTCATATTAAAAGCCCCTTATAACCCCAGCTGAGAGAATCCCTCCATTTTCTAAATAGGCTTTTATTGTGAAACATTTGTAAGAACTTGGTTGTGGAAGATACAGTAGCTTGAATGTTTGCCTACGGGACTTCAAGTGAAGCTCCTGCCATCTGCTGGCGCTTTTAGGTGACTACAACAACATTTTGGCTGGCACATGAACAGACAGTTACTGAATAATAGTAAAAGTACTAAAAATAGGACAAGAATAACCTGATGACATCACACACGCCATGAAAGACAACCGGGGATAATTGGTGAGTACCATCGTGTAGTGTGCCATGTCTGTCGGCCTTGTCACGGCACCATTTATGACTCCACAATCATGTAATGTGACATAGCGACTTTCAGAACGGGCAGAAAAGTCATGTAGTGTGTATCAGGCATAATGCAAGTCCTCCTGAGTCTGACCTGTCTGTCAGCGAGTCCTCCTCCATCTATTGAGTTGTGGGGATTTTACTGACGATCCTGCGGAATGTTTTAGACTCCACTGTAGACAACGGCAGCATTTCTTCTACCACATAACTAGCCACAAGCTTCATGACTTCTTTCGGACTGATAGTTTTAACTTTATCTCCGTTATTAGAACCAAATGACAGCCAATGCTGTTTCGGAGCTGAAGGACAAGCATTCTAAAAGTAACGGAAGTAACTGATGGCTTGTTTGAAAATGTACTTGAGTATTTTATTACTCAAACCGCAAACTAATGCGTTAGGTTACTCATTACTGCAAAATGTAATCAAAGTACTCAACTCTGGCTGCAGCGTACCAATAAATACCCCTGGTGGTGGGGACATAAGGCACGCTTGATCATTTTGAGACAGGAAACAATATGGCAGCTTGTTGGTATCAATCAATCTCTGATTACAGTTAAACAGTAAGCTAAAATATGTTTTGGAAAACATTTGAGGTGAAAAATAGACATAGCAGTTACCTTATCTTGGTTCATATTCGATCAAGACTGCTTAGTTTGATTTCAGTATTTTCAGCCTCCCTTTTTACAATACAGGAAACAAAATGGTGTCCACTTCATGTTCACAAATTCTTGTATTATAGCCAAACAGTGCAATAAAATATTTTTCTTAAACATTTCAGGTGAGAAGCAGGCTATGCAAGAATATAATCTTGGTTCATATTTGATCAATAATGTCCAGTTTCACAGTTTGATCTAAGTTTTGTCTCAGTTTTGGAGATGGAAATCCGCTTCTATACTTTTTGTGTCTGTGGTGGTGAGCATACAAAAATGCGTAAGTACAAAATGTGTTTGAGCTAAAGCCCAAGGGCCAGCAAAAATCCACTGGGCTGGAAGATCTGGGCGCTGGCAAGATAGAGGCAAGTTTACCACAGTTCGGTAACACATGATACCCATATTATTATGATACAAAGCTAGTTGAAAACTAGCATAGTGTCCCTTTAAAGAGACACCATGTTAGAGAGCAGTGGATTAAACTCTGTTGTTATTTTGGAGGCAGCAGTTTTTCATGAATCTGCAAAATACCACTGATTTAAATAAAATGCAAAAAAAAAAACACTTCCAATGACCCATACAGTACATCAGTAGTGTTACCTCTAATAGTATTAGTCATTTACTATCATTCAGCAGTGGATGCTAATTTGTTAGCATGGAGCATCAGGGTGAACGATGTACCAGGTACACATGGATGATTCTGGTGCCAATGTTCTCCCCCACAAATGCAAATGAAAAATGACACACAACCGCAGTTGTTTGTTTAATCCAGCCGAGTATTTATCGTGCTGTCCGCCAATGATATGTCCCTGGACCTGACATCAGTGGGAATCAATGGGTGGTGCCAGCATAGCTAATATATCAGACGTGGCCTCGTGCTTCTGGTTGTGTTTTCTGTCTGAAGTCTTTCCTGTCTGCCTAGAAAGGCTGAGATTTGATATTTGTCACCAGACTCTGACACGGGGGCTGAGAGTTTGAACCCATCACCAAAGGCGAGCAACAACCTCCTCTCAATCAAAGAGAGCCTCTTAACCTCCTCTCCCCTCTTCATCCCTCCATCCATCTCTGAATTACTTTAGTCACATTTATCTGCCCTTTTTTTCTCTTTACTTCTCAGTCTCTTTTCCCTCCACCACTTTCTGGTGGATGATTTCTGCCAATGATGTGGTGTTTGGCTTCCTATCTTCACATCACACCTGTAAAGAGTACAATGAACTCAAACAAACACACACACAGACTGTCACGACCCCTGCGTCTAGCCTCGGCACATTAATGGGGATTCTGTCAGCACCTCAGGAAAGAATTACTGCCACTTGCTGAGCCCTTACACTCACTGTCTATCACAAAGTGTCTACACACAAAGACGTACAGTACAAAGTCATACATGCAGGACTCACACACAGCTTGTATACTTTCTTGCTCCCATTCCTTTGCTCATTTATGTATTTTCTATTTCAAATATTTCCTTTTTAAATTAAATACATAAATATAGTCAATATAGTCAGCATAGTCAAGCCTTGCTGGTATGATTTTCCTCTGATTTTCATAAGAAACCGATTTGTTTAGACTGATTTCTCTCTCCCTCTCTCTTTCTCTCTGACCTCATTTATCTCCCTTGCCTCAAACCATCCCTCTCACTTCTCCCATCACTTTCTCCGCACTGACTCGTTCACTTCATTCACTCGCATCAATTCAATCTCATTCAAGTCAAAAGTGCATTATTGGCACGAAAACAAAAGTAGCTACAGCCAAAGCAAAAGCATCTCTTTCTCTCCACTCCCTCACTGACTCAAGCAACAGGCCAGACAAAATCTTTATCCTGTCTGTTTCTGCTGGATCTGTTTACAGACTCAAACTTTAGTGGTGTGCATTGAAATAATCTTTTCTCTCTCCCTGTTGTTTGTCATCTAAACCTGTAACATTAATCAGCTGTGACTTCTGTCAGCCTACAGGATTAAATTATGTTCATACCCAAATGTTTAGTCCCTCACTATAAATCAGCATTATTCAATTATTGATTCCTTTTATGCCACCAGAAAATTACAACAGTCTTCCCTTGTTCCATAAATTCACAGTGACAAAGTAAGGACAGGCATTAGATGAAAAATAACAGTGTTAAACCATTCTGCGCACACACACACACACACACACACACACATACAGATGAACACACTCATACATTTCCTTGTGAAACTTGACCTACCTCAGTGAGGTGCGGGTTTGGGTTGAAGCCACACTGGTTACAGACGGTGGCCTTACACTGGGTGCAGGTGTTGTAGTTGGGTACAGCCGGTGGGTTGGACAGCTCTGTGGTGGTGCACACTGGGCACAGTTTGCTGCTCGGCATTGGTGCTATCTGCGGCACCGAGTAGGGTGAGGTGGGCGTCACGCCACGGTCAGGAGACACAGAGGGAGACCGGCCTGTCCTGGAGCCGCCCGACCCGCTGAAGTCGACTTGGAGGTTTCGACGGGAGGCGTGTTGACCAGTACCTTGACCTCCATGGCCTCCCATGCCGGACCCAGCTGGACTGTGACCCATCCCGTGGCCAGTCCCTTGACCATGCCCCATGCCGGCTGACTGGCTTGACTGCATATGTCGGGGGGAAGTGGGAGTGTCGTGAGTGGCCAGGCGGTAGGGCTCGCCAGCTCTGGACCCTATTCCTCCAACTCCACCCATTCCTACTCCCATCCCTCCCATACCTCCTCCTCCCATACCTCCTCCTCCCATTCCTCCTCCTCCCATTCCTCCTCCTCCCATTCCTCCCATTCCTCCCATCCCTCCTCCACCCATTCCACCTCCACCTATTCCTCCCATTCCTCCTCCACCATGGCCTCCTTGTTGCATGCCAGGCTTGGGGCTACCCATCGGACCCATTGGACCCCTGCAAGAAAGGGACAAAGCAGAGGAAACGAGATTCACATCAAATTAATTCTCAACTTTCCAACTAAAATGAAATCAAACATTGCAATTAAAGGTTGGGTTAGAGTTCTGCTATCACCCCAGTATAATGAAATGAATTGAATTTCATTCAGTCCTTACAACACTTAAACAGTTTGACTTAAGACTCGGGGGGACGGGCTCTGGCTGAGTAGCATCACATGACATGATTTAACCGATGCAGTTGGTCTTGGAGTTTTGCGGTTGGCTAAACCAGTGCTACAAATGCTGTGCCAGTTAAATTTGAAAAGTTAAGTCAAAATTTAATAATTCTCAATAATTTATCAGTTATAGGTCTGGGTCCAGATAGGTTGTGTCTGGGTCTAGATGGGGGAGATGGAGAGGAATGGCCGGTTAACAACGGGGACACATTTTGGTCATTCTGCTCCCTCAAATCACTTACAGTTTTTTTCCAAGACCAGAGGCATTTCATGCTACATTATTTTATAGTGTTACAAGTTACTTTACTTTAAATAAAAAGCTTAGTTCAAGACTTGCAGAACCACGGTGTAGTTTTTCGCCACTGTGTGGGAGATAGTCCTTGGTGATGCCATCTCAGAGTACAGGTTTATGTTAGTTACTTTGTCCTCAACTAGTACTATCTTACTCTACACTGCAACACAAGAACAATTCTGTTTTTCATCTTCCTGTCTTGTAGCCTACATCAACTGCTGAGGAGACCAACTTTTTGCCTGGGGCATGTATCTCTACCCTCTGTCTTTTAGCACAACGTCATGTATGTAGCCATCAACTGCATATCTAAAACCCCGTAATGGGATTTTTGTTCTAAAACAAGTCAACTTGAAACATTACAAGATCAATCAAGAATGAAACATTACCTTTATGCTAACGTTAGCAAGCTATCTTTCAATCAACCCAATCAACGATTGCTGTTTCAAAGTGAGAAGCCTGTGTATGTCTGCCAAAGCTCACAATCAAGGACCCATTGTTTCAAACTTTATTAAGAAAGTGAAGTTGTATATTTGCCACTATTATTCTTGTAAACCTTTTTATGTGCTGTCTGAGAACGGACAGCTTGACAGGCATGGCAACAGTAACTAAGGGGGCAAACTTTTGCTGTCTCTTTAGAACAAACATCCCATTAAAACAAAATGTTTTAATGGCTCACAACTAAGACAGATTAACTTACTATTTTGACAAGTAAACAAACTGTAATGAATTCATCCTGACCAGAAAACTACCTTCACAACTGTTTTTCTCTGTGTTTATTTAAATTTAATTCTATATAACAAATTCATTGCTGAATACAATTATATTGATATTTTTTCTGCTGCTCGAGCACAGTAAATGTAATAGGCAGCAGTGGTTAATGCCACCCCAGTATTCAATGAAAAAAAATATCTTATTTTACTGAATGCATTATTAAATGAATGAGCACTACAGGAGAATTCAGCCTGGCAATTGTCACTGTATTCTAACAAATTCAATTATCTTCTCACTGCCAGAGAACCAGCAGCAGAAACAACATTAAAAACCAGCAAAGTAATTACTGATTCATTAAGTGGTCGCTGCTGAAAGCTGTGGAAGGACCTCCGAACATCCATGGGCATCAACAAATTCAAATGGAAAATAACAGGCTGCAGCAACACCTACTACTACACACACACACACACACACACACACACATACATAGACATTTCTACCGTGTGTCAAAGGCAACATGCACAAATACGCTTCAGGCAGAAATAACACACATACGCAGACATTGAGACAATATTCATTGAGCGCACACCCCAGGCAGGAGACACAAACACATACCTGAGGGGAAGCAAATTGGTTCAGAACTCTGCCTGAGGACATGTCGATATTATTAAAAGAAGTTGATGTTAACAAACAAATATTCTTCAAGGTTATTTTTCCCTTTTTTGTGCTCAAGGTAATAAAAACTCTATGAGTGATTCTTTTTGATAGAGTAATGCAATAAACACAGATGTGTGTGTGGACATGAGTGTGTACTGTATTTTAGTGGGTTATATTTGCAGTAAAAATCAGAATGTATGAAACCTATTGCTTTAAATTCACACTATCATCCTGTTATTTTTTTCTCTATAATTGAATATTTTAAAAAATATATTTTCTTTATTTACCACTCTGTACAAGAAATGTTTTTGGCACTAAAACATCTATAAAATAAGACATTTTAACTGTTATCAGATGACAGATATTCCTCGTGTATGCTGTCTTTATCTTTTAAAAGAAGAGGGTAAACCTTGTTCTTCTGACAAGAAATTTGACTTTTAAAACTAAAATGTTGACAGATTCTTATGTTCCCTGTGTATCTATTCATTTCAGAAACCTCTAAGCCCCCCAGCTTTGCTAGCATTACTATTTTCCTAGAGTAGTGTATCTCAGGTACAGTACCATGTATTGACACATGTGCATCCAAAATGGGACAGGATGTCCCAGAAATTAAGATTTTTCTGTTCTAAGATGAAATAAGTAAGCTGCCAGTGCTTTAAATTTATAATATAAATGTTTCTGATCTGCCAGGTTAAGTTAACAGAAGATTTAAAGTCCCACAGGCTCGACTGAACAGGTTGAGGAACTCTTTTGTTCCTCAGGCTTCTGAGTAGGGCTATCCTCAGTGTATCTTGGTACAACACTGATAGGAATGATCAATTTGTTGCACTGCATCCACTTTTCATAATGTCTGATGTGATCTGTAGTGTTTGTAGTATGACTCTGTTGTTGATTGTTTAAATGTTGTTCTGTATTTTTGTGTTGTTTTTTATGCACATTTATGTAAAGGAGTTGACATTTTGGAACGAAAGACTAATTTTGGAATTGTTCTGATAAAAAAGAGATAGATCACGTACTGTGCATGGTTAAAAATATCAGTACTGGCTCTTTTAGGTGACAAGATGCAAACTGCAATTCTATTGTATTCTATTCTATTCTGTTCTATTCTATTGCCTGCGCTGTCATTGATTGAATGAGTCTAGACTTGGTGTATTACCAGCTTTAAATGGTTACTGCACACAGAAATTGGAAATGTTGATTTACTGAACTCCAGTGTCACAATGTTCCAGTCTGCCTCTCCTTTCACTAAGAGGTTTTCTTCTCGTGGACAGTCTGGCCCCGACAAAAGCTCTCCCTCTCTCTATGTTTCTACTTTTTCTCCTTTTCTTTTCAATTTATCTTTCTCCTTTGTAATCTCTCTCTCTGTAAACTTTATTTTTGCTCCGTCACATCTGCCTCTCAGTCGCTCCCCTCTTCATTGCCTCTCTGTCTCTCACTCTCTATTATCTTTTCAGTCTGCACTGACCATGGCCTCGCTCCACCAATGTTTTCTTTTTTCCTTTGTAGAATTTCGCCTTTTTTTTTTATTTCCGCTCTCGGAAAAGGGAAGTGGACCTGAGGCAACCCTGTTTTTCTTTCTTATACCAAGTCTACCAGTCAAAAAACAACTTTGTAGGTCGAAATCAGAGTGTAGAATTTTATCAGTGTACAAATCCTGCACTTACTCATTGAAAAATATCTCTAAATGTTAAATAGAATTGCTGCAGTGTTTAACAGTGTTGACAGTCATTTTGGTTGAGAAGGTTCACCCGCAGCAAGTATTTGAGGTTGATCAAGAAAAGGCTAACAGTTGGCTTTATAGGGCCATCCCTAGTCACAAATGCACAGTACTCATTTTCAGACCAACACAGAGAGGCAAACGAATCAAAAATGCAGTCACTGTGCACACACACTACAACACACAGCTATAGTGGGAGTCGCCTGCAAAGCTGCGAGTGACAGTTGCTGTGTGGTTTGTGTGTGTGCACACTCATGCGTCAGTGCTCTGCAGGATCAAAGCTGTTTTTTTAATTTCAGAATTCCCTAATTATACTCCTTCTCTTGCATTCTTTTGTCTTTTCCTCGCAGCAGTGGTGGAAGAAGTATTCAGATCCTCTACTTACATAAAAAGTACTAATACCACAGTGTGGAAAAAAATCACTACAAGTAAAAATCAGGCATTAAAAACATTAGTATGAGTAAGCATGATAAAACATGATAAATTGTTATCATTGAGGAGTACTCTGCTGCATCAGTACTTTTAGTAAAGGACCTGAGTACTTCTTCCACAATGGGAGGATGGCAGAGCTAGAGATGTAAAAACATGGGGAAAAGGATGATGAAGATGGAGTCTGAGATTTGTTGGAGGTGGGGCTGCAGGGAGTGCACTGCACAAACAGCTAGCTGGGTAAAGTGAGCTAACCTTAACGTGTTTCTTTTTTGTGGTGTTTTATGGTGATAGAGGACCAAATACAGTCAGGTCCATAATTATTTGGACAATGATACAGTTGTCATCATTTTGGCTCTGTACACCACCACAATGGGTTTTAAATGAAACAATGAATACCTGCTTAAAGTGCAGACTCTCAGCTTTCATTTAAGGCTTTTTTCAAAAATGTAGTATGAACCATGTAGGAATTACAACCATTTCTTCACACAGTCCCCCAACTTTAAGGGCTCATAAGTATTTGGACAAACTAACATAATCATCAATTAAACAGTCAGTTTTAATACGTGGTTGCAAATCCTTTACAGTCAATGACTGCCTGAAGTGTTGGACACATAGGCATCATCAGATGCTGGGTTTCTTCCCTGGTGATGCTCTGCCAGCCCTTTACTGCAGCCGTCTGCACTTCCTGCTTGTGTTTTGGGTGTTTTGCCCTCAGTTTTGGCTTCAGCAAGAGAAACGCATGCTCAGTTGGATTCAGGTCAGATGATATGACTTGGCCATTGCAGAACATTCCACTTCTTTGCCTTAAAAATGTCTTTGGTTGCTTTTGCAGTATGCTTCAGGTCAATGTCCATCTGCACTGTGAAGCATCGTCCAATGAGTTTTGAAGCATTTGGTTGAATCTGAGCAGATAATGGTGCCCCAAACACTTCAGCTTTCATCCTGCTGCTCTTGTCAGCAGTCACATCATCAAT